CTGCATGTATACCCAAAGTGGAATGTACATATTGATAACACCTCTTAAAGAACTTTAGTTACCAACAAATATATTTTTCTCTTTTCTGCCTTGGGAATCTTGATGGATCTTTCTGGACTGAAAAAAGCTTTAAAATGTATTTTTGACAGCTTGAAATTATTGATTTAAATTGTATGCAGTCTTGGTTGTTCTAAGAGCATCACAAAGATGTCAGGTCATCCAAATTTCTGTTCATGTCTGAAAGAGCTTAACAACATTTTACGTGCTTTCATGTCTGGTGAGGAAAGGTGGCCAATATGCCAAGTCTGTTGGTATACTGCAGGGGTGGGCAGTTATTTCGGGCAGAGGGCTGCTTACTGAGTTTTGGCAAGCCACCAAGGGCCATATGACTGGCAACCAGGGGCAGATAAATATTAATTTTCTAATTTTTTTAAGGCCCTATAGGCTGGGTAGAATGGCCTGGTGGGCTGCATTTGGCCCGCAGGCCACATTTTGCCCACCCTGGAATACTGTTATAGTTGGACACTGTCAGATACTCAGACCATTACAGCTCCTTAGTTTTCAAGGAAATCTTTTTTGCAGTATAAGGTTATTTAAATTCCGGGTATACAGTTTGAAGAAGTATAAGGCATTCATAGCAAGCTTTGTGGCGCTTCATACATGTAGCTCAAAAGAGAAGGGATTTCTTCTGTATAGGGGAAATCTCCTTTTTTTTAACTCAAAAATGATTTATAAAACTTCTGCCTGTGAAGGAATAATTGTCAAAGAGCTTTTTTTAAATATATATAACAAGGCTGCTTGGATTACTTGAGATTCAGAATATCTTCTTTAATTAGGAATTAACTGGCTTTTTTTTTCTTCCTCTAGTAAGGGTTCTGAGTTCTGATAACTCTAACAATTAAACCATTGGAGTTTGTAATGCATATGTTTAGTGTTTACTGTTTTCAGTGTACCTTGTCACATATTTGTCACTTGAATCTCTAGCATTTTTTCTTAGAATCAAAGAAAAGTAGGCCTGGAAGGGACCTCCAGAGGTCATCTCATTCATCCCCCCCACCAGAGGCGAGATCATCACTATCCAAACTGTCCTGTACAAATCAGTTGTGCAGCCTATTAATAAAAATACCTAGTCAACCATGACACAACCACAAGACAACACTGTAAGATGCCACAAGTAAAACGGGGACAGCGGCAGCCTGTGTCCTGCTTCTACAGAGATTAAATGTTTGAGAGGTCCAAGGAAGAGGGCCGTGCCTCTGCAACAGAGGAAGGCAAAAACTTGCACTGTCTGTATCATTCTGACTATGGGGTAAAATTCCTTCCTGACCTCAAATATGGTAATCAGTCTGACCCTGAGCACAGGGGCAAGATCCTCTAGCCAGGAACCTCCAGAGTTAAGTTCCAGCAGGACCATTGTAACACTACAGCCAACATCCATAGCCTTGGCTGTAGCCAGCACCCAGTGATTCTGAGAAAAGCCCCATGCCGCAACCAGCAAAGCCCAGAATCATGGGAAATACCTATAGTAGAACATGGGCATAGCTACTCCTAGATCGTCCTTGACCAGTGCTTATCCAGTTCTTCTTAAACACCTCCAGTGATGGAGATTCCATAATTTCGTAGGTGGTTTATTTCACTGCCTAACTGTTCTAACGATGAAGATATATTTTTCCTAATTTCCAGTCTAAGCTTACTTTGCTGCAACATCAGGCCATTCGTCTTCATCCTTCTCTCTGCAATAAGAGAGAAGGTGTTCTCTCATTTTTATGGCAGCCCTTCATATATTAAAAGATTGCTATTATGTCCTCTTTCAAGCACTTTTTCTGCAAGCTGAACATTCCTGTTTGGCTTGCCTTCCAGGCCCTTTACCATTTTTGTCGCCCATTTTTTTGGACCCTCTCTAACTTCTCCATAACCTTTTAAAAACTTTGAAAGTTTGTATTGAAAAAAAAAATCAGAGAGATTTGACACAGTTCTTTTAAAGAGTACTGCATGAAGCTTGCTTGCATATTGATGTACGCAGTCTGTATGCTAATATATCCTGCTTCCCACTGGGTGCCTGAACCATTGATAATTAAAGAACTATTTAGAAACGGATAAGGGCATAAGTTCACAGTTGGATGTGTAAGGATAAATTCCATTCTCTCATTTGCACAGGAAATGTTTTCAGGGAGATGGTGTAGGTGTTATAAAAGACCAAAGTCTTGTGTTTACTATAACTACTTGGCAAGGCAATAGATGCATCTTTAGGGAAACTGCTTTTTGTTAGAATAGTAAAATCAAGGAGGCAAAATTTTGTTTTGTTTTGTTTTTAACAGGTGAAAGGTTTCACACCAACAAAGGGTCCTAGTCAATCAAACATTAGCCACTTATGTCAGCAGTAAATTTGGCTCCTTGTCTGGTGGTCTGAAAAGTAACATTTGCCCTTTTCTTTAGTTTGTGCTTTTAAAGCACCATAACATAGTTTGGAGACTTTTTCTGTTTTGAAGGTCAGAAGTTGTACTGGTCAAGGTATACTTATCAGTAAATGCAACTTAAATCTTAATGTTTTTAAAGATAAATTCATACGTTTCTCCTTTAATTGGTGTTAATTTTCTTGTCTCTGCCATTCTGCCAGTTGGGTACAGTGTAATCAATAATTCAGTCTACTGTCTTTAATACATCCAGCCAAGTATTCTGACATCTTGGAAATCAAATTTGTTTCTCTATATTTAGCATACTTGTCTTCTGACAGTAACATTTTGTGTTGTCAAATATTGCTGTTGACTTCTGTCTTTCATAGCTCTTCTACACATGGCTTACTACTGGAGGAATATGTTAGAGCAGCAGTTAAGCTGGCAACTAGCTGAACTATAACCATCTCAGGGGAAGAGCAAAACTTGAATAGTTACATTGTGGAGTTCAGTATTTTCATAAAATGTATTTTGGCAAATAGACATAGCTCTCATAGCCGTATCAGTGGTAAAAATTCTTCCCTTAGTCTGTCACTCTTATGGAGGACAAAAAGGGAAGAACCTTTTCCTAATGGATTTCCATGAATAGAAAATGGGGTGATTATTTTTTCAAGAATTTAACAAAGTAGAAAGCACTGTACAGCTAATCCATCTCTTTTCAATTTGTTCTGATCAGGTCATAAGACTATCACAGCTCAATGCAAGTATGATTAAGGTAGCACCTGGCAAATTATTTGAAGACAACTTTGTTTGGAGTTGGAGATAGAAGATTAAATCTAGGGGGTTCAGTGTAGGACATTCAGAAGAAAGAAGAAATAGAAATAAATATAATATTTCTAGGTTAAATTCAAAATATTAAGTGGGGAAAAATGACCATAGCGTGCTCTAGCCTTTTTGGAAAGGGGCAGTGAAAAGCACCAGTAAAACTGCTACTTACTTTTAGCTTTGTAAATGATTTGTGAAAAGTGCTTTGTCATGAAAAAATACTAGCTTCTTGGGATACAGATTATTATCTCTATTGATCTGGAGACAAACAAAATGTATGGATCAAAATTTTCAGCTCTTAATACAATGTACTGGTAGCGTTGTGTAGCTGACAATTATTTTTTCAAGCTTAAGCATTTTAGGACAATGGGAAATAAATAATATTTTGGGCCTTATCAAAAACTCTTTTAAGTTGCTCAGAATGTATTGCAAGTAATTAGTTTCTTGATGGTTCTGATTTTTTTGAAGCTAAATATAAACACCTACCTCTTGAAGCACAAACTGTTAGATATACAACCTGTAATATTCTGGCTAGCATTGTATGAGCCGCCTGCCAGCTTGATTCAGCAGGATGTTTATATGTGGTTCTGGTTACGTGGACACCAACTTTTCAAGTCTCCAGTGTTATAATTTAAATGTTATCCTTTCCAGACAAGTGTATTGGTTTGAAGTCGCTTACATAAAGTGTCAGTTAAACAGAGATGTTCCAAGGGAATTGCATTTAATTTCTCTAGTCCTCTATATTTTATATTGATGGCTACTTCACAACAAGGAGGATGGATAGAGTTGGAAAAGAATAGAATAGGAAAATGTCTTAAACTGAGAGCAGAGAAGATGGTCCTTATGTGGCTGGATTCCTATATATTTTCATCCCTCCATACTCATCTGTTCTGGTCTTGGCTTAACCTGTTGCCCCCCTTCATCTTTTCATTATATCACTGTATGAGTCTCCTACAAGTTTCTCTGTGGTTTCATTAATACCTCTGTTGAATAGCCCTTCTTGAGCTGGTGTACAAGACCACTAGCTGTTCCTCAGTCAAATTTTCCATGAATCTTTCTTTACAAAGTATTGGTAGGATTATAGGGTAGTTCAGAAGATTTTTATTTTCTCTCTCTCATTTAAAAACAAAAAAACCTTGATATTATTAGGGTTTGACCATTCATCATTAACCACCTCAGTTACTTGTGTATAACCTTACCCTCATCTCTAGTTCTGCTTTTTAAATTTTAGAGTATATGCTATTCAGGATAGTGTTCTCTTTTGCTTTGTCAGATTACATAAATTAAAACAAAAAAGTGAAAATGCGTGTGGTAACTGAGGCTTAAAAAAAAAAGCAGCATATATCATCTGCTGCTTCACTGATACTTGTTTTAATATTCTGCTTCCTTTGGAATAAGAGTTCACTCTCCTGCTTGCAGGACAGCCCCTCTTCAGCTTCATGGAAAGAAGGGACCTTCATTTTTTTTCTACTCCTGCATTCTGCTGGTTGTGCAGTCTTTTACCAGCTCATAGAACTATTTATCTCCATGTTAAATTTGTATTTTTTTTACTCAGTCCTGATGTAACTATTCAGTCTTTCTTACTTAACTGTTTTTAATGATGACTTTTGTGTACCTTCTTTGAGAGAGGGAGAACAATAAAGCAGAGGCTTTATTTTGTTTGTTAAATCATTCATAGAAATTGAAAATTCACAGGATAGAACATTTTAATCATGTTTTCTGAACACTTAATTAGATGCAAAATATTTCTGCATTCTTACAACGTATATATTTTAAATGCAGCCAAACTCAGCGAAGTCCACATGTGTTTTACCGCCATGATTTAATCAATCAACTTCAGCACAATCATGCCCTAGTTACTCTGGTCGCAGAAAATCTTTCTGCGTATATGGAAAGCATGAGACAGTATGCTAAAGGTAAGTTCTATGCATTTGTCACAAGTTAAGCAGTTGATAATTTGGATTAAAAATGGAATTGTTTGCTTTGAATCCTCTAAGGGTAAAATGTAGAACGCTTGTTGAACCTTAAAGCTTGTTATATTGGTAGCCTACTCAGGGTAGCTTCGGTGAAAACAAGTTTAAATTTGAAATGGACCACATTACTTAATTGGAAATATGAAAGTTAATGTGTGTTCTTCAGTTAAAGCTTGGAAGGAGGCAGTCCCATTGCTTTCATGTTATCTCCAGTTTGAAGATAAACTTCTTATTTCCTACTTTATTTATGAATGCTATTTTTTGTTAAAAATATTAGATACCTTCTCATTTATAGTTTTGAACAAATGTCACAATTTGTTATAGACTGAGTTAATTTTAACCCCTGTATTCAGGTTACTTAGCACTTTTTATAAGATTCTTGCAGTATTTTTGAGGTCTGCTACCATTAATGTATGGGACAAGTATTTGAAATTGGCAGGGTATGTTTTGTATTTTGTTTTGTTTTAACCTCTCTTCTTCCATTGAAAAAGAAATACTTAGGGGATTGCATAACAAGACTGTTAAAAGCATACTTATTCAAACTTCACAGGCAACCTTAATTCTGTCATTGAGTATACACTTTACCACCAAAAGAGATTTTTTTTTTTTTTTTTTTTTTTTTTTAAAGGTCTCCCTTCT